ATTCGTTCGTCCAGAATGGTTCGGCGGCTAAAGCCGCAAGAGGGGGTGGGAGCGGCCCCCATGGCCAAGAGCCGCTGGTGTGTTCACGGGCACCAGGACCCAGATGGTGAGTCTCTTGCCGTATATGCCCCGACCCCCCAATCGGAAAGCATTATGGTGACTCTCCAGATTGTCGCGTCCATGGGGTGGCGTTTGCACGTTGCGGACGCCAAAAATGCTTTCTGCCAGTCGGATCGTCTTCGCAGGCCCAATGGGGCCATCTTCGTGGAGCCCTGTCAGGGGCTTAGTATCCCCTCGGAGCAGCTCATCGAACTCGTGGCCCCAGTATACGGTCTTAACGATGCGCCATTGCTGTGGCATCGCACTCTGACCGAATGGTTGGGCAGCCAAGGTTTCACCAAGTCGCTGCTGGAGCCTTGTTTGTGGGTCAAGCGCGGGAAGCTTGACCGGCTCGAGGCCCTAGTTTTAATTGAGGTGGATGATCTCATCGTCTCGGGTCGGGATGACGTGATGGGACCTTTGAGGGACGCTCTGTGTAAGCGCTTTTGCTTTGGCAAGTGGAAGGAGAGCGAGTCTGAGTATGCGGGCCGGAGGGTCGCGCAGCACGCCGACCGCATTACGGTTGATCAGGAGAAGTACATACGTGAGCAACTGAGCCAGATGCATCTAGATCGAGAGAGGCGAGCCAGCCCTGAGCTGCCCCTCTCAAAAGATGAGATTTCATCCTATCGTACTGTTGCTGCTCAGGTGCAGTGGTTGGCGCGCGAGAGCCGCCCGGACGTGGCCGGTAGTGCTTCCCTCTTAGCCGCTGCCCTCCCCTCTCCCCTGATCTCCGATGCTCTCGTTCTGATCAAAGTGGTTAAGTTTCTCAAGGGGTCGTGTGAGCAAAAGCTTACCCTCTGGTCCCTGGATCCGGTTTCCCTCACCTTCGTCACGGCGAGCGATTCGGGAGGCCCGGGAACTGCTCGGCGAGGTGGAGCCCAGGGAGCGTGGATCGTCATGGCTGCCGATGGCAGCATTCGTCAGAACAAACGGTCAAGGGTTAGTGTGCTGTCTTGGCGCTCCCAGAGGATAAAGAGAGCCGTCGCTAGCACGGTGGCTGCGGAGACGTTGGCCCTGTCCGCTGCCACCGCCGAGGCTCAATGGTTGCAAGTTTTGTTCAGGGACGCTGTTTTTAATGACGTTTCGAGGCCCGACTGGTTTAATGGACAGGCCCCTTTCACGGTCGTGCTGTCCAAGGACTGTCAGCTCAGCGAGGCCGCCTCCTGTCTTTCTGTCGTGGATGCGAAGTCGGTGTTCGACACCCTCTCTCGCAACTCAGCGGGCTCGAGGGCTGACAGGAGAAACGCCATCGAACTTGCTGTGATTCGAGATGCTTTGTGCTCGATAGGGTCTCAAGTGCGGTGGATGCCCCGCGCTAGGATGCCCGCCGATCCTCTCACGAAGATGGACCCTTCCCGTGGTAACCTTGCGTTGCATGATTTGCTTTGCAGAGGAACCCTGTCCCTAGTGGACGAACACGGTCATTTGACGGAAAGGGCCCTCAACGAGGCCCTAAAGAGCAGGTCCCGCGGGGCCAGTAGGCGCGCCCTCGAGCTAGCAGCTAAGGTCGAGTCCCCGAAGATCGAGTCAGCTGAGGTGAGGAGGGGCCCAGGGCTCCCCGAGGTAGAGGAAGAAGAGGAGGTGGAGGAGGTAGAGGAGGAGGTGGAGGAGCGCCCAGGAGGAGACAGGAACACGAGTGAGGTGAGGGGCGGAGGAGGAGAAGGAGGAGGAGGAGGAGGAGGAGGAGGCCCAGCGCGCGGGCGACCGCAGACACCCGCGCGCCAGATCCCGGCCTACGTCAGCATGGAGGCCGGAGCGCCCAGCATGGAGGCCGGGGCGCCCGGCCGTCTGGCGGAAGCGAGCCTCGAGCTCGCTAAACCCGCCAAAGTTTGGCCCGCTGTCCCCCTCGGGCCCCGGGGTCCGGGTCCCGGAGGTCCGTGGGGTCCCGGTGACCCTCTGGCCCTCGAGGGCCCCCGGTCCCTTTTCCTCTCGACCTCTCCTCCCCCACTCTTCGGGTTTAGCCGTGGGTAGGGCTCGGACTCCTTCCGTAGCCCTTTGGGCTTAGGCTGCGCGCCTGGTGCTTGACAAAACGTGCTCTCCCCCCTTCGCCCCCTTTCCACACTTCCCACCGTGCTTCTAGCTTGGGACAGACGGCCCTAAAGCGCCCAGTGACGGATCCACGATCCCCCCTTCGCCCCCTTTCCACACTTCCCACCGTGCTTCTAGCTTGGGACAGACGGCCCTAAAGCGCCCAGTGACGGATCCACGATTGCCCAGGGAGGGCCCAAAGCGGCCTCTGAAGGCCCAGGGGGCCCATAGGCGCCCCAAGAGTGCTCCAAGAGGACTTCCAGGAGGCCAACATCGCAGCGGGCCTCCGATCCAAGACGGGCCCGTGGGCTGCCAAGATCGCCCCAGGACGGCCCCAGAGGCCCGCAATGGGCTTGCAAGACGTCCCAAGAGGGCCCCAAGACAGCCCGAGACGCCCCCAGGACGGCCTCAAGACGGCCCCAAAGACCTCGCCCTAGTGCGGGCCCCACGACGACCGCCGAAGGCCAAGAGGTCCCCTAGAGGGCCCCAGAGGCTCCCAAGATGTCCCCAAAAGGCCGCAGGAGAACCCCTAAGAGGCCCCAGTACCCAAGATGCCCTTTAGAGCCACCCAAAAGACTCGCAGGAAGCTCCCAGAAGGCCTCAAGAGGACCTCAATAATCCTCTTCTTCTTATGGTTCGTCTTCTTCTTCTTCCTTCTTCTCCTCCTCCTCCATCTCCTCATGCTCCTCCTCCTCCTCCTCCCCTCCTCCTTCTCCTCCCTCTCCTCCCTCTCCTCCTCCTTTTATCTTAATATCTACAGTGTTTCCCCAAAGGGTTTCACAACGGCTGGGGAAACAAACAGTCCAATAGCGTGGCCAGACGCCGGCTCAACGTTTGGCCGCGTGAGCGGTTTCAAAAGGCAGGGGGCGGCGGTGATTCGCCGCATGCGTCTTAAGTAGGCAAGCAATGGGCCTGGCGACGGGTCCGCCCTTGTGCAGTCATGTGTAGCGCAGGGCGCGGGCCTCTCTTCATCTTCTGCGCGCCACGGGGCAACGCGGAAAGCTGGCTGCTGCGGGGCACGCGTGCACGGGCGCGATGCACTCTTTGTGGGGCACGGTCCGCGTGAAGGGTGTCCCGAATAATTCGGATGCCTCCGCACGAACACGGCCACTGAGGCCGCAAGTTCACTCCTCCAGGCAAGACCCATACGGGGCATGTGTTGGAATGAGCGGGGGACGACATGCGAAGTTGCCCGTTGGTGTCAGAGGTGAAGATCCCTCTAGGGCATGATTCGCGTGACGGGTGTGCTGACACGGGCGGAGGGGCATTATGCGAACTTTGTCTCTGGGCCTTCAGGTGGTGCTCCTTGTGGGCACGATCCGCGTGATGAGGTGTGCCGCAATGGGCGTGGTGGGCGCAATGCGAACCCTGCCTCTGGGGCCGTAGGTTATCCTTGCGGGCCACGGTCCATGTGCGAGGTGTGCCGTCCGGGGAATTCCTTGCGGGCCACGATCCGTGTGAGAGGTGTGCCGAAGTGGGTGGGGCGACTCTATGAAGCTTCCCGGGGCTCTCTGGGGCCGCCTGGGCTGTCTTAAGGCGCTGTTGGTCCATCAGACGCATCCGAAAACCGTCGCGGCAGCCTCGGGGGCTGTCATATGAATATTTCGGTCGTTGTAGGGCCGTCTTGGAACCCTCTTGGTGCGGTCTTCTGGACCTCTTGGAGGCCATTTCGTCGCGTTTTGGCCTTCATGGGACCACTGGGAACCTCTTTAGCCGCCTTGAGGCTGTTGGACCTTTTTAGGCGGCTGGAAACCTGGCAAGGTGAACAAAAACGGAAACCATTGAAACGGTTAAGATAATTAGTGGTTTGGGTTTCTTCGGGTTGTCATGGAAAGCTTCTGGCCCCCTCCAAGCCATCCTGGCCGTCTTGGATGTATCTCGGTCGACTTTGGAAGCTTCTTGGGACCCTCGTGACGTGCCACCTAGGAGGCCACCTGTGACCGTCTTGGGCCGTCTGTGCCCATTTTGAGGGCCATCTTGGGCCATGTTGGCTGGCTTGGAGGCGAGTTATCTTGATGGTGGATGCTGTGTGCGGTGGCGGCGGACGGGCCGAGAGCCACATGGAATCTTTTGGAAGGGCCAACCGTCCCATAATACTTGGCAGGCTGCGCACCTCTCTTGCAAGCAGCAGGGGGCGGCGGATCTTAGACGGCTACGGCGCGTAACCGCTGCTCGCTGCAGTTTGAGAGACGCCTATGAGTCTAACTTTTGGGGTGAGTGTGGGTACGTACGTGTTTAGATTGCGTGCTCCCCCAGCCGATGTAAACGCCAATTGGGGAACATGGGATGGGCTCTGGGCAGCCTTCTCGGGTTATCTTGGAGGCCGCTTGGGAGCCAATAAAAGATATGTTGGGGGCCTCAAAGGGCGTCTGCTTAACCTTCACGGCCGTGTTGAGACAGTCAGGGCCATTAGTCGTCTTCAAGACAGCCTGGGGCTTTGAAAGGCAGAGCACGCCCTCCTGGGAGCGAAGGGTGCCCAGGACATTTGAAAACGGACACGATGAGCGTCAGAAGGCCAACGATTCCCCCAGATGTCTCAAGAGGACCCCAAGACTTTCCTGGATGTCCTTCAGACGGCCCAATAAGCCCCGAAGACTCCCATGGGGAAGGTCATAAAGAACGTAGTATTCATTGTATGTCATCTGATGCTGAACACGTTGGGTTCCAACCAGAGCTTGCTAGACCCTAAGCGCGCGTAGCTCCAGTGCACCATTGCACGCAGAATCGAGAGCGTTGCCTCAGTGCATGCCAAGTTGACAAGAAGTGAGCCTGCAGCATCGGGAATTACATTAGTTTGGTTTGCACTCTGCTCTCTAGGCTTCGCCGATGCTCGTCGTCGTTGCCGTCTCCCTCTACACTGTCTCCAGCAACTGGGCGTAAATAGTTGTCCTCACCATGGCTCTACAGCTAGTATTGCTCAAACTGACGCGAAGACACCGCCGATCATGCCCGCTAGCGTAGCCTGATTGCGGCCAAGGACGGGCCGCCAGCGAGATGTTATCGGCAGGTCCTGTACGTTGTTTCACCACCGTGTGCCGCTATTATGGCAGAGTCTTGCTTGCTGGTCAGTGTCCAACAGGGACGTGGGGGGGTGCGCTGGTCACTTTTCGAGTGGCTACCCCAAGGCAAAAGGTTATCGAGCTGGGCGGACCAAGCAAGACTTACAAACGATCTTAAGCGTGTGTCGTGTCTCTCTGAAGTTGTGACGAAGCTATGGGCTGCGCAACATGTTGATGGAGTTGACCTGAACATTGCACACATGAGTGCAGCGTGGGTGTCTATGGCTAGGCAGAAAGCGCAGCTCACCGAGGAGGATCAGAATTCAGAGGACTTCGATTCGCTCGTGGAGATGACCCAATCGGCATTGACAAATCCGGATTCCAGTTGGAAGCATTCGGTTAAGAGGCACCATCCGCGTAAAATTGGCCAGCCAGTTGCATTGGTGTTGTGGTCTGTGGCAACGCTTCACGGAGTCTGGCCGAAAACAAGGGACATGATGCCATGTCTAGCATACCACATGCAGTCTGGAGCTCAGTCTGCACATGCTCAAAACGTTGCCAATGCGCTTTGGGCGTTCGGAATCATGCACACTGTTGACGATGGATATGGCAGCGTTGTCACAGATTTGATGCGCCGCGCATTAAGCTTGTCAGCCGAGATGAACTCACAACAAGTGTCCAACATGTGCTGGGGATTGGCACGCAGGAAACGAGAATCTCATAAATTTTGCTCCGCAATGGCAGGTCGACTGCTATCGCTATCCGCAGTTCTATCCAAAAAGGCGATTGGTTTTGATCTTACTCAAGCAGCGTGTGCATTTGCTGTGCTGAATTTCCGTTCTGATACTTTCATGGAGATGGTGGCTGGAAAATTACCAGAGCTACTGGATAGCAGGCATGTGTTGCCAGATTGGGACCTATGCGCAGTTCATTGGGCTTTCGACCAGCTGTACCCTGCGCAATGCCATGTGAGCACGTTTGATGGGGTGTGGAAGGGACAAGGAACTATAGAAGGAAGGCGTTTGATTGGAGATGGGGGACAGGTGCACTTGCTGCAAGGCAACACTGATGGAACAATATCGTGGACACTTTCTACAGGAGAGTCTTTCACGGGGAAGCTGGTAGACAATGGTACCAAGATTGAATGGAGCGACGGCGATGTTTGGGTAAGGGGCGATCGTCCGTTCGCTGTGTTCCAAGAGAAGTTGCATCAACACGTTTCACAGAGAAGCTTGGCTCACAGATTGACGACTGTTCCGGTAGGGCCTGAGTGTTGGTATTTCGGCCGCTAGTGCGCACAACGAATGCAGCAACAGACTCGCATTGTTCTGCCCATTCCGGATGGCATAGCAATCGCCCCCCTTTTGGGGTTCGCGGAGGAGGAACGGGCGCGTGCCGTCGGGGAGAAATTGGGGAGTTGCAGTTTAAAAGCTCGGGTTCCTGGGCCAGGGGCGGTTGGCCCGCTGGCGTCGGCAGTCTCCGAGGGGGGGGATGGGGATTAGGGGGGCAGCGGTGGGTTTGGGGGGGGGGGGGATGGGGGTTGGGGGGGGGGATGGGGGAGGGGGGGGGGGAGGGGGGATCGGGATGGCCATAAACGTCAACGGCGGCGGCGACGGCGATGACGACGACGACGACGACGACGACGGCGGCAGAGACAACGACGACGACGACGACGACGACGACGACGACGACGACGACGACGACGACGACAACAACAACTACGACGGGGAAGGGAACGGGGGCGGGGACGGGAACGGGGACGACGGGGACAGGGACGGCCGCCGTCGTCGTCATCGTCGTCTTCGTCGTCGTCGTTGTTGTCTTCGTCGTCGTCGTCGTAGTCGTCGTCGTCGTCGTTGCGGCCGCCGCCACCGCCGTCGTCGTTGTCGTCGTCGTCCTTCCGTCGTTCCTTCGTCATCGTCGTTACGTCGTCGCCTTCGTCGTCGTCTTCGTCCCCGATCTCGTACTGGTCGTCATGATTGTCCTTGTCCTTGCGCTGACCCTCGTAGCTGTGCTCTGAACATGGAGTCTTCGTCGTCGTCGCCGTCGCCGCATTGGGGTAGGGATGAGGATGGATCTGGGGGGATTGATCTGGAAAAGGGATGAGGCTCGTGGGGGGGATGGGGATACCGCGTCGGGAGTGTGTGGGGTGGGATTGGGATGGGGACGTTCCGTCGGAAGGTTAGTCGTCCCCCCCGATTAGTATGCCATCCAGGGTATTTGGAGTCTCGTTTCTTGGGCCCCTGAATGTGTGTGAGCTTCGTGGACCCGTGAACGTCCGACAAGAAAGACACCATCTTGGGGTGTGCCTGAGCGTGTTCTGCATTGTCACTGGTGCTGGGTGAGACGTGAACGCGTCTGGCCGCTGCACACAATTCCCGCTTGACCCCCAGAGTCGTTTCGATACTGCTTCACCCACCCCATATCAGGGTCGCCGAAGCGGAGGAATTCGCGCATCGGGTGGGGCGTCGACCCCTGCTCGCCCACTCGTCGCCGATCCTGGTTTGGCCACCAGGAGCATGGCCACCATCGATTCTAGACGCTTCGCGTCACTCCACCAGTTCATCTACAAACGATGCCCAAGAGAGTTGCCCTGATCAGTCATGTGGGAGAGAAGGCAGTGGAATGAAAGTTGGGAAGCCGTCATACCCGAAGAGGGGGAAGGATGGAAGAGGAACCAGAGGAGGAGGAAGAGGGAGAGTGGGAGGAGGGACGGGGGAGGATGGAGGAGGAATGAGGAGGATGAGGCGGATGAGGAGGAGGAGGAGGAGGAGGAGGAGGAGGGGGATAAGGGCGAGCAGAGAGGCCAGAGGCCCTTTGGATAGTTCTCGGAGTCCCTTCAGATGTCCCTCGGGAGTTTGTCGGCCTCCTGGGGCCTCTTGGGGGCCTCTCGGCCGTCCCGGCGGCCTCTTGAAGCGTCTCAGGTGCCTCGGAGGGGGCCTCTTCGGGCCTCTTGGGGGTCTCTTGGGAGCCTCTCAGGGGCATCTGGGAGGCATCTTGAAGGCATCATGGGGGCCTCTGGGGCCTCCTCCAGGAGGCCAAGCGTGGCCAAGACCTTAATAGAGTGAGCAATTCGTGCCTTGTCGCCGAGGCCGATTCTGGCCGCTCTAGCCCCTCGCCGCCCCCCCCCCTCCCTTCAGACCCAGGGGACAGGGGCAGGAAGAGGGGTAAACCCTTTCCCGAAGGGGGAGAAGGAGGTTGGAAAAGGATTAGCAGGAGGAGGAGGAGGAGGAGGAGGAGGAGGAGGAGGCCCTCCGCCCTTGAAGCATGGGGGAGGGTGGTGAGGAGGAGTCAGGACTTGGCGGTGGGTGAGGAAGCGGAGGAGGAAAGCGAGGAGGATGCGAATCAGGACGACGATGGCGATGGGACGTAGGAGGAGGAGGAGGAGGAGGAGGAGGAGGAGGAGGAGGAGGAGCCAGAGGATGAGCCAGAGGAGGACGAGGAGGAGGAGGGGGAAGATGAAGGGGAGCCAGGGGGGCGGCGTGGGGTAGTTGTCCTGCGGACCAGGGGGGAAGATCACTAGAACAGAGCCGTCGCGTCATCCTTGCTCCGCAGAGAAGACAAGGAAGAACCTTCGACGATAATGCAAACAAGCACGACAAAACGCTGTACCACAGCGACGAACCTAAAAACGCCAAAAAGTCGACCCTAAAATCGCTTTAAGAAAAAACGTAGCGTTTCTGTTTTGTTGCGGCGTCAGCCTGTCAAGAGCCCAAACTAGAAAACGCGAACAAAAACGCCCAGGGCGTTTTTTCAAGCTGAACCAAATTCGACACCCCAAATCAATGTGACTGCTGCGCCCTGACAGTCATGAATCGTTCCAAACAACCATTTCTGGTACGCTAGCCATGCGACCCCGTGAAGCCCTTGCAAATGTTTAAGACGAGTGTGCGCGGCGCTAAGGCGAAAGCCAGTTGAAAAGGACCGCCCTCAATCCGTGAAACTCTTGAACATGTTTTAACACGAGTGTGCGCGGCGCTGAGGCGAGAGCCACATTTTGAAAACCACCCACTCTTAATCCTTGTGTAGAACGAGGGTGCGCAGCGCTAAGGCTATTGCCACCACATGTTGAACAATCCATGAAACCCTTGCAAATGTTTTAAGACGAGTGTGCGCGGCACTAAAGCGAGAGCCACATTTTGAAAACCACCCGCCCTTGATCCGTGAAAGTCTTCCAAGTGTGTAGCGAGGGCGCGCAGCGTTAAGGCTAGGGCCACATGTTGAAAACCACCCGCCCTCCATCTGTGAATGTGTTGCCAACTCTTTATGCTGCAGGAGCATAATATGAAAGGAAATATCAGGCAAAACGCCCGGCCCGCCCTTTCGGCCAGCCTCGGGGCGCGACAGGGAGGAGTTATTGATAAGGAAAAGGAATTGAGGAGGAGGAGGCTGAGGAGGGCGCAGGTGGAGGAAGAGGATGAGGATGAGGACGGTCTGGGTGAAGAAGGAGGGGACGGACCAGGAGGAGGAGGAGAAGACGGAGAACAGAGTCAGCCATCACAGTGCAACCGATAGTGATTGCTAATGGGATGGGAAGGCCGGGTGCCCAAGGACCATTTGCTGGAGCCTGGGCTAGCCCCAAGAACGGGTCAAGGTACCTAGATCAGGTGCATGGTGTTTGTTCGTTTCCCTGTTCCGACATCCCCCGTGGGAGAAGAGTATCGAAGCTGCCGACATCGGCAATTGGGGAAAGGCTCGTTCGCTGGGGATCAGGGCCGGACGGGTGCCGCGTGTGCCCCCGAGTGGGGCGTGATGCTAAAACATTAGAGTGTTTGCAAGTGGGCCCCTCCTCTGCGAGGCCGCCCAGCCACCACTGTTGCACGTTCGGGTTCGGCGACGCCGTCGGTAACCTTTATTATTTTCAGCCGCACAGACGCGCTCACTGGTGGCGTCATTTCTCATCATCCTCCCCTCCTCATCCTCCTTCTCCTTCTTATTATCGTCTTCCTCAGAAGCCCAGACCCCCATCCGACTTCTCCTGGGGCCTATTCTGACAATGACTTCGAGGCGAATACAGCCTTGGCGACGAGCTCTGTCCACAAACACGGAAATCATCATAACACCAGCCCTCCTTCCATTTCTCCCTCCTTTCTCCTCCTTCATCCCCACTCCTCCCTCTCCTCATTATCCCTCCTGCTCCTCCTCCTCCTCATCATCATCCTCCTCATCCTCCTCAGCCTCCTCATCCTCCTCCTCCTCTTCCTCCTCTTCCTCCTCCTCCTCCTCACCCTCCTCCTCCGCCCTCCTCCTTCCTCCCTCGTCCCCGCTCCTCCCCGCTCCTCCCTCTCCTCCCTCCTCCCTCCTCTCCCCCTTCGCCCTCCCCATCCGAAAGGTGGTGCACCAAGTAGGAGGTCGCATCCCCTCCCCGATAATGGACGGTGAGGGCGCATGAACTCCTACCAACACAAAGGTGAGCATAGTGAGGAGGAGGGTTGACATCCTCCCTCCTCCCCATCCTCCCCTTCCCCTAATCCCCACCGTCCCTCCTCCCCATGTTCCCCTACCCCTTCTCCCGTTCCCCTCCCTGTAACGTAAGACCGACCTTGATTGGATGGCCGTTGCGTCAGACCTCCCCTTCTTCCCCATCCTCCCCTTCCCCTCCTCTCCTCCCCTTCCATCTCTGCCCTCCTCCCCAACCCTCCCCATCCCCTCCTCCTCCTCTTCTCCGTTCATCCTCCCCTCCCCCTCCCCCTCCCCTTCCCCTCCTCGTGCATTCTCCACAATTTCACGATATGAATACTACTCTCCTCTCTCCCCTGATGACGTCCGGAAGATCTCCGGCCCCCCTCCGCGTATAGTTTTTTCACCAGATCCCCTGGAACGTGATTTTGTTTGTATGGGTGTTGTTCAAAATTTTGCTCCAGTTGAAGCGCTGGCCTTATTTTCGGGCTTCCGCTCGTTCCGAGTCGTGCTCCCGCTGCAGCGTTGACCTTCCTTACAATTAGGCTCCAAAATTTAGGAAATGGTCCCCGAAAGAATCCATCGGATGTGATTACACATTCGGTGCCGATTCGTTGACTTTTGGGGCCGCAGAAGCCCCCCCCCCACTTGGGGGCGTCGTCGCTTTCAGGAAGTATCAAGCGGGAGCCCCGTTTCTGCCTTGAGAAGGCGATGTTGGAAGCAGAGCCAGCGGGTATTCTCCATCAGCCCCGCCTTGTGTGGAGTTCTTCGGGGAGCCCAAGGAGCTAGACATGGAGCCACCACTCCAGACCGGCCCAGACCTTTTGAAGACGGTCCACTTACCCTCAAGAAAACCTGGCGCCATGCAATGAGATGCAGTGTTGTGTTGTGCGCCGATGTGCGATGCCGTGCTTTGCGTTGCAATGCTTTGTGATGCAATGCTTCAGTGCGCAATGCCATGCTACGCTCTGCCGTGCTTTTCTACGCCATGCCATACCGTGCTCTACCACGCATCGCGTACCCCCTTGCGGTCATTGCCCTGTTCGACATCCGACTGTGCGAATAAAGAGGAGATCAACGCCATGGTAAGGGATGGGAGGGAGGGGGAGGACGTCTGATATGACGCGAGTGTACCTAGCTTGCCTCCCCCCCTCCTCCTCCTCCCCTCTTCCCCCTCCTCCTCCCCCGCCTCCTCCCCGTTCCCCTCCTCCCTTCCCCTCCCCCCCCGGGCCCCCCTCCGCGAGCGGGCCCCGACCGCCCCCAGGCCTGCGGCGACTCGCGCGCGCAAGCCCCCCAGCAGCAGGCATCCGCCGGGAGCGGGGGCGGGCGGCGGCTGCCCGCCGGCGACACCTCGGGCGGCGCCGGCCGGATGGCGCCGCCCTTCCAGGCCGGGCGCCCACGCTCGCGCAGCCGCCGGATGCCCTCGGAGGCCCTCGCATGCCCTCGGAGGCTCTCGGGGGCCTTCGGAGGCCTCCGGAGGCCGTCGGAGGCGCTCGGAGGCTCTCGCAGGCCTTCGGAGGCCCTCGGAGGCCCTCGGCGGCGCTCGGAGGCCGTCGGCGGCGCTCGGAGGCCCTCAGAGGCCCTCGGATGTCCTCGGGAGGCTGTCAGCTGCGCAAGTTTCGCCACGTTCGTGGGTTCCTGTGAGGCCCAGCGGGGGCGGTAGTCAGGCGAGTCCTCGCGGCCCCCTGGGATGTTGCCAACTGCGCCATTGTCGGTTCGTGGGATCTTGTGAGGTCCAGCGGGGGCGGTAGTCAGGCGAGTCCTCGCGGCCCCCTGGGATGCTGCCAACTGCGCAGCTGACGCCACTTTCGTGGGCTCCTGTGAGGTTCGGCGGAGGCGGTAGCCAGGCGAGACTTCGCAACTCCCTTGGAGGCTGCCAACTGCACAACTGTCGCCACCTCTCGTGTGCTTCTGGAAGGTGCAGCGGAGTAGATTATCAAGCAGATCCAGGCGTTCGTATGAATAGTCGCTTCGCTGGATACTGTGTTTGCGATTGGTTGGGCCGAAGTGAGTGAACCGAACGGTTATTCACTCCCTGGGTGCGTGGCTGAAGTGAGGTTGCGCGGGGCGGATGGTTGTTGTTTGTTTTCGTCGTCCAACCCGCGACCCAGACCGCGACCCACCCGCGAGCAACCCCGCGCCCGCCCCATCACTCTTATCCGCAAGTCCGGGGTGCTACATATCCGTTAGGGTTTCGCCCCCTGCCGCCGGCTCCCTCTCTCGGAGAATGGGCAATGGAAGAGCGAAGTCATGAGGTCTGGGCGCCGCCGTGAGGCAGTGCCGGGACCTGTTTGTTTTTCGACCCTGACCCTACGGATCTGCGAGGGGTGCCGCCGAATTTCAGACATGTGGCAAATCCCCTGGGTTTTGGACCCTGACCCTGCCGATCTGCGTGAGGGGTGCCACCGAATTTCAGAAATGTGGCAAATCCCATGTGCTTTTGCGCCCTGACCCTGCCGATCTGCGTGAGGGGTGCCACCGAATCTTAGAATGCCGCCGAATTTCAGAACTGTGGCAAATCCCATGTGTTTTTGCGCCCTGACACTGCCGATCTGCGTGAGGGGTGCCACCGAATGCCAGAAATGTTACAAATCCCTTATGTTGTTGGACTCTGACCCCGCCGATCTGTGCGAGGGGTACCACCGAATGTCAGAAAGATGGCGAATCCCATGTGTTTTTGCACCCTGACCCCGCCGATCTGCGTGAGGGGTGCCACCGAATGTCAGACATGTTGCAAATCCCATGTGTGTGTTGCACCCTGACCCTGCCGATCTGCGTGAGGGGTGTTTTTCCCGGAAAGGGCATCGGCCCAGGGTTCTCTTTTAGTAGGTAAACCTGTCCCCCGGTGCCAACTTGAGGGAGGCCGGCGAATTTTTTCCCTGATAAATAACGAGGTCGAAGGAGGTCGGCGAATTAAAATTTGAGGATGTCTCGAGCGAAACGCTTGTTTTTGAAATCCCGATCGATAAATCACAGGGTGCGGGCCACTTTTTCGTGTGTTGAGGATGTCTCGAGCGAAACGCTTGCTCCGCAGAGTTTGCCGAGGATGTCTCGAGCGAAACGCTTGTTTTGCAGAGCCGACCGCGACGCGGAAAAGCGCCCCGCGCGAAGGAATTTCGATGATGTCTCGACTAATTCCTTTGTTTTTGTACGATTTCCTGGAATTTTGGCAGGATGTCTCGAGCGAAATGCACGACCCCACCCTAGCACGACCATACCCCAGCACGACCACACCCCAGCACGACCAGACCCCAGCACGACCCCACCCCAGCACGACCCCACCCCAGCACGACCATACCCCAGCACGACCACACCCCAGCACGACCCGACCCCAGCACGACCCTACCCCAGCAAGACCACACCCCAGCACGACCACACCCCAGCACGACCTCACCACAGCACGACCACACCCCAGCACGACCGCCCCAGCACGACCCGCCCCAGCACGACCACGCCCCACCACACCCCAGACGACCACCCCCCAGCACGACCACCCCCCAGCACGACCACCCCCAGCACGACCTCAGCACGACCACACCCCAGCACGACCACGCCCCAGCACGACCACGCCCCAGCACGACCACGCCCCAGCACGACCACCCCTCAGCACGACCACCCCCCAAGCACGACCACCCCCCAGCACGACCACCCCCCAGCACGACCACACCCCAGCACGACCACACCCCAGCACGACCACACCCCAGCACGACCACACCCCACCACGATCACACCCCACCACGACCACACCCCAGCACGACCCGATCGATGAATCACAGGGTGCGGACCACCCCAGCACGACCACACCCCAGCACGACCCCACCCCAGCACGACCCCACCCCAGCACGACCACGCCCCAGCACGACCACACCCCAGCACGACCACACCCCAGCACGACACCCCAGCACGACCCCACCCCAGCACGACCCCACCCAGCACGACCACACCCCAGCACGACCACACCCCAGCACGACCACACCCCAGCACGACCACACCCCAGCACGACCCCACCCCAGCACGACCACACCCCAGCACGACCCCACCCCAGCACGACCCCACCCCAGCACGACCCCACCCTAGCAAGACCACACCCAGCACGACCACACCCCAGCACGACCTCACCACAGCACGACCACACCCCAGCACGACCACGCCCCAGCACGACCACGCCCCAGCACGACCACGCCCCAGCACAACCACCCCCCAGCACGACCACCCCCCCAGCACGACCACCCCCAGCACGACCACGCACGACCACCCCCCAGCACGACCACACCCCAGCACGACCACTCCCCAGCACGACCACACCGCCTTGGTTGAGTGGTTGCCTGTCGTCGTGGAATGTTTCGTGGGGTGTCTCGTGGAATGTTTCGCGGGGTGTCTCCTGGAATGTTTCGTGAGGTGTCTCGCGGAATGTTTCGTGAGGTGTCTCGTGGGATGTTTCGTGAGGTGTCTCGTGGGATGTTTCGTGAGGTGTTGCCCCGTTGGGTATCGTGAAAAC